TTCAGACACTTTACCTGCAATGCAAATCCTTTCCCTATACACGTGTGCACCTGCCCTGCCCCTGCAACGCAAGGACATGCTGCTGCACCAGCTGAGCAGGACCATGGCACCATGCACGGGACTGCTTCCTCCGTCTCCTTCGGCCTCGGCACATGCCAGGCTTTCTTTTGCTGTTCAATTCATCTAGCCAAATGGTTGAGTATCTTCTGCCTGCCTCAGCAAGGGAGGTTGGAGCCCAAGGACCTCCGAAGTCGGGAATCTTAGGTGCTCTCATCCCCAGTTCTGCTAGCATGGCACCAAGTGGGATCTGGAAGATCTACTCTTCCAAAGTCCCACTACCTGGGACATCTGTAAAACATTTTATATCTGTGGGTAAATAGATACTTAATGCAAGTCTTTCTGGGGTCCTTTTCTCTAAGCTAAGGATTAAAAGCTAAGACTTGTTCTCTGAGGTCTTCTACAAATAGCAAGTAGGAGGCTGCACCTCAAGTGTCCTACACAGCAGGTGGGTTCAGGGAGAATAAGGTAAATAAAAGACATAGACAGAGGGAAGGCAACTTAGAAGTCCGATGCACAACATCCTAAGAACAAACCAGGCAGCATAAACATGGCCACTGTTACTGGAAAAAGGACCAAAGCACCACAGGTCCCTTCTTCTCTGCTTTCCAATCAGCTCCATGGGTGTTGGTCAACTGTGCTACTTCTCCACAGGAATATAATGTTGATCAAAACACCGTGAAACCTAACTGTACCTTTTGAGAGTAGCCGTCATGAGGAAAAGCTTGCGAGAATAGCTTTTATATATATATTAGGGGGGGAAATATTCCATAAAGAAATTGTTACCTAGACACCTTATTAAAGTCAAATCAGGATCAAATCATAAGGGCAAAGAATTAGAAATAAGACATTTGGGCAAGAGTATCACCTTTCCACAGAAAAGCAAGCAGGAAAAGCTGTAAGACGCGACCACTGATAAACGGTTTAAGAGAGAGGAGTCTGTTTTCTGAACTCGCTTTTCCCATCAGGGATTCATGATGTCCAGCCACTGCTCTCCATCACCTGAGTGTTACTGTCAGTGGTAAGACCAGGCTGGGTACCATGCTCCACACCACTGGCTGCTGAACAAAAACCTTCTAATCAAAGCCCCAGTCCTACAAAAACATAGTCTGGTCTTAAATTTGGCACAAAGGGTTCATTCAAAGCTTCCTGAGGTCCAAACAAATCCACTTTTTTCCAGTGGATGTTGGGTGAAAAACTAAGGACTTGTGATCACAAACAAAAGTCTTCTACGCTGTACCAGAGTAATATAAATCAGTAAATATTTGGTTTTGAGCAATGTTAACCAAATACCTACAATAACATTACTGTAAGGATTAGATTAACCAATGCTGCTCAGTGCATTTAATTTTGGGACAGTTTCTTTTTAAGCAATAAAACCTTTTGCTCTTCCAGAACAATTAAAAAAAAAAAAAAAAAAAGGTGAATGAGAATACTGCAAATGAACGTAATAGGGTTTTGAAAATGCCCTGATAAAAATACAGGAAGAAACATTCATTTTATTTTCAATTTGTTTTAATGAAAATGATGTCTAAAGAGATAATAGAGTAATAAATGTAAAGACAACATAGTGTGTAAGAGATTAAGATTACCAGGATTACTGAAGCTGAACAAACTTCTCTCGTCGAATGGCAACTGCTAACTTAAGTAGGTTACATACAAATAAATTTTAAAAAAGACACTGGAATATTTGCATTGTCCTCCAGCAGTTTTAAATAATTTTGGACCTATTTCTAACCTGCAGCTGAAAGGACGTGCTCTTAACCGTACCATACCTTTAATCGTGAGCAATGGCAAACTCTTAAAGAATGAAGACCTTGGTTTGGTAACCAAAACATAAGCAAGTAGACGATTCTCACACAGCTTTGTCCACAGTAATCCTGCACTTTTCCATCCTAAAAAGTCAAATCTACTAATGTGTTAGAAAAGGGGGGAGGGGTGCTGCAATAACATAAGGAATAATAATGGATGAATGCAAACCACTGAAGATCATTTTAATGATGCGACCACCAGTCTGCTGGTACCCAGGAGCACATGGGGTGTTACGTGCCCCCTTCTCGGTGAGATGGACCTTAACCGCGCACTTTGCACTGCACAAACCTACTGACACAAAAGATTAGTTAAACAGCCTCAGCAGGTGGAGCCGGGTGTTACTTTTAGCAGCTTCTCTGCCCTCTGGGGTGCGTGACGGCAATGAACGCCCTGCCCTCTGCTCAAAGACTGGTCAGGGTTGGGTGCGGGTAAAAGCAAGGAGAAGCCTCCACAGAGCCATCCCCCGCTCAAAAATCAGCACAGAGTTGTGCTTGATGGTAGATCTTCTACCCAGCTTCTGCCTGCAGAAAGGCCATTACTTCCCAACTGTTTTTGTAAAGCTGGACTCCTACTTCAGTCCTTAGAAAAATCAACTTTTAAACATGCTTGATGTTTATCAGTTTATCAGCTGTCTCTGAACAGCAGTTCCCCATCAAGCTGCTGCACTTGGGGAGCTGGCTGAGGCTCCCAGCTCGCTCCTGCGTTCAGAGGTTTTGCTAAACAGCAGCGTTTTGTTTCCAACCCACAACAGCCCATAGAGACATGCCAGCTTAGAGGCAGCGTTAAAAATCTTTCAAGAAGGGATCTGACATTTTCTTTTGTTCTCATTTCTATAGTATTTTCTCCTTCGAGAAGGTTATTTGAAGTATCTGGTACTGACATTTAGCAAAATGTGAAATATGAATTGGAATAGCTGTTGATAGGTAGTGACGCAGCGCAGGACAGGGTGTCCCACTGGAGGGGCACTGGCCAGAACACACGTTAATTGTTCAAATGCTTCCACAGCTTCAATCTTTGCTGTCCTTTTCTCTCTTCCCACACACAAATTAACCCACAAGCACCAGTATAGGGGTGCTACATTTTACCACAGAGGTTTTTCTAATCTAGTGCTCCATCATAAATCAGAGACATCTCTTCCATCTCACTCTAGCGAAACACAGTTTCATGACCAAAAGGATGCTTACGCATGCAAATCCTTCCTGTCACAATCACAGAAAATCCCCCAAATTCCCTATGTATAATTAGCTCACTGCAAAAAATTACCAGATAAATCTGCCTCTAGCAAAAAAGCTAATCAGAAGATGAAAGACAGACCAAGACATCAAGAAACTGCCCTTTTTCGGTTATTTATGAAAGGACTCACTGCAAGGGAACATATTTTATAGCACCAATATTCTTGGATGAAAGTTGCATTTAGTGCCATTATATTTATTCACTTAAACTTCTGTCTACAAAAACCTCACCACAAGGTGCCAAAACGCTCAGCACTACAGAGTGTGCTGTAGATGCAATGATGGGTGAAAAACTAAGGACTTGTGATCACAAACAAAAGTCTTTTACGCTGTACCAGAGTAATATAAATCAGTAGTAAACTTCTCACTGTAGATGCAATGGATGCTCTACAGGTCCATTAGCATTCAGAGCCCCACACGATCACGACTTGCAGGCACACAAGCGCATGCTGAGCAAATCAATGTAAATCCTACAGCCTGATTTCCCTAAGTGCTGATTTTCCAAAGAATAACCAAAGTCAAAAAGAGAAAACGGATCTCAGCCTTCCTGCAAAATCAGCAACAATTCAGAGCTTCAATCAAAGTTTTTGTTAACTTAAGATCACTTTGACTGTATTTTTATCACTTAAACCAGAAATGTCTGCGTTATCACAACTTTTTTAAATGCAGAAAGAAACATCAGTGTATTCCACACAGAGGAAGAAAATACGAAGTGTTTACCTCCTTGTAAACATATGACAGCATCTGAATTTCTATCCAGAAACCACTAAATATGATCAAATGTTTTAACGCCTGTTAACACTGCTTCAGTTGCCTGCCTGTGTATTCACGTTTACAAAAGCAGTCAGCAAGTCAGTGAAAAATAAAGCAAGAAAAACTGCAGAAAACCCTCTTGTGGTGAACAGAACTGAGCCTGCTGCGCCGAGCAAGCCACGTCCCATTCCTCTTCACGTGTTTATACCATTGTATCCTAAAAAAAGATAACAGATGCCTTACAGCCACATTCATTAAGTGAAACTATTTGCCAAAATACCCTGAAAATTTACAGTAAGAATTTGTATACACTGGAACTAGCCCCTAAGTCTCTCAATACACTTCCTTAAGCTCCCCTGTGACAAAAAAAAAAAAAGCAGAACTCCAAGGACACGGACATGCCACAGCATCCCAAACACCTCGGTACTTCTGCTTCAGCAGTCGCCAGAGACTTTGGGGCGACTTAGGGTTTATTTATAAGCTCTCAGTAGCCCTCACTGCTGTTAAGAGTCAGGCTTTCCCACCTTCACCCTCTTTTATTTGCAAAATTGTCCAGGCTTGTTTTGGGGAAAGCCGGTGCTCACCCAGCCAGCGTACAACCAGGGATGCGATACAAATCCTCAGGGGCAGACCCCCAACTTCTCCAGGAAAAATTAGATGTATTTTACATGTTACAGTGTAAAACATGTTTACATGTGCTGTAAAACCAGCATTTACCAAAAGTGCCAAGTCTGTGACACAAGGATAGTATTCCCAGGAGCACCAGACTTTCTACACACAGACAGGTTTCTTTCAGGAAATCTCAGAAGTGTGATGCTGATACACATACCACTGCATACACACAAAAAACCCCACCCCTTCTGCGTGTGTTTTAAAACACTGACCATTTACAACAGCTTGTGCTATTTCATAAGACACAGAGAAAACATCAGTGCTTTGTATATTTTAAGGCAGCTGAAGTGCAAAGCATAGGATGCAGATGTAGTAGGGGCACGTTGGTGCACACCACGTCCCATCTCCAAGCACAGAGGCCAACACACCTTTTGAAAGACGCGTGGAGGGTTCCCAAAAGCAGGGAACCCTTTCTCCCAGGCTTTTACCTCCCTCCCAACCCACGAGTCTCACGCATGCCCTAAAGGTCCTCACCGGTCAGGGACTGGTCTGCTCCCAGCACGTTCCATTCTGCCGGCAGTTTCAGGTGTCGAAATGCCAAAGCCACTTTCTCATCCAAAAAGTCCACGTCGGCAGCGGGTGGTCTCGACCGGTCCAAGAATCGGGTGAAATTTAGAGCTTGCTGGTTGCCGGCACAGGTGGCCAGAAACTGAGCGGCGTCGTAGGCTTCATCCTGGACAAACTGAAAACTCTCTTCTGCCACAACCAGAACAGGATGACCTTCTCTAGAGGCACAAAGTGCCACCTTCACTGTCTCACAGCAGTCATGGCCTGCAAAATAAAACCAAGGGCAATGGTAAAAAAGAACAATTGCATGTGCTGAAGAAACACAACTAAGTAACTCCTTTGACACACACAGTCTTTACATTAAATCAGGTAAGAGCAATGATTCTATGATTCTAAGTATTGAGGGCCACAACTCTAAATTAAACACTATCTTAGGAATTTATATGTATCAGAGATAAGTATTTCTTATAGACTTTAAAAGGAAAAGATGTGTAACTCTTCTCTGTCACAATATAAGCAAAGAAATATAAGCCACCCTTATCTGACCAGGCTATTTTTAATCAGCGGCAAGTAAACTCATGAGCATTAAGTAATTCAAGTGAAGATTTTGCTAACGTACCAAAAGCCAGATTATATGGTCAAACTTTTCTTTCCAAGCTCCACAGGACTCCAGTAACTCACCAAAAACTAGAATCCGAGTGCTGCAAAACTACGTACTCCAACTGCTGTCACAACACTTGGCTTGTACCGAAAACACCACAACTTCACCGAAAACAAAGACCTAAATGGCTATGAGAGCGCGACCTGCCCAGGCATGCCCTGTGCGTGCCCTCAGATCCCACGCTCACTGCTGCACCTGCCCTTTGCATTTGGGTTCACGTGACAATACTAAAACTAAGCCGCTTCTGCTAAATAAAAACATGGAAATGGCCACTTTCCATATTTACAAAACAAGAAGGTTGGAAGTTTGGTAACTTTAAGTTTATTTATTTATTTAGGGCAGGGGAAACAGGAAAAAGGATGCCCTGGCATGGTAGCAGTTTCACTGACTCAGAAACTAAAAAAAAAAACCAAAAAAAAACCCAAACCCAAAACCCGCAACACCTTTTTGCAATTTTAAAAGGAAAAATATACTGTGTCCAACCAGCACTTGTAATTGTCAGACGTGCCCCTTCAATAATAAGGTTTGTGTTTCAAGTTCACCGAGCGGCACAGTTTCTTGTTCCAGTCTCGGACTGACGTCATGGCTGTTTTTGCCAGAACAGCATGGACCCTGCACTAATTACTGGAAAAGCTTCTTTTTGCCCATGACCTCAGCATACTACTACATTCATGAAACCCTGCTTAATTAAATACAAAATGACGATTTATTTTTAAAGGCTTGAAAATTCAATTTAAGCCCCTATTTGTGGTCAGTGGGAAAGTTTCCTTCTTGTGTCGGGGCCCTTTGCTGTTGATTTCCCTGACAAAAGGAAAAATATGTCCCTAATCTTCATGGTCTTCCAGCCAACCTTCCAAATCTGTTCTGAGACTTTTGGCATGCATACAGGTTTTGTCTGCTGAAAGAGGCGATCTTGAAGTTAATTGAAAGGTCAAAACTTCTATTAGGACACTGTGGGTAGCACCAAAATTGTCAGAGACGAGGCTGCGCGGCTTCCTAAGGAGAGCAAATGCAGCTGGAAAGGTATCAAAGCCAAGTGTAGAAAGGGAGGACGAAAACACACACAGATGTTGCTGCCACAGCTCAATACAACCGGGAGGCTCTGAAGCTGAAAGGTGAGAAAACTTCTTTCCATCCAGCACCAGGCATCTATTAGCAAGAGGATGATGTGAAAGCTGAAGGAATAGATTTACTAGTACTGATGTTATGAAACAGAATAAGGGTAGGAAGACCTACTTCTACTGTTCTTGGAAATATTGCACGTGCATTCTAATACATCACCAGTCAACAGGACGGGCAGTGGCAGGGATCTCAGTAGCCCAGATGAAACTCATTCACAAACTCCACCCGCCCTCACAGTAGGAGCCTCAAATATTCACGGGAGAAGCGGGGAGACAGTACAACTTTGGGGGAACTTGCCTTTAATGCAGTTCAGAAGTGTACATCCCTCCACCTTTTGCTTTGCTCATCTTCTTAAGGACATCAGAATAAGGAGCTGGTAAGACTTATAAATTTTGTTTAAAACCTCCACAAAAGCAGCAAGTTGCATGCAGCCTGCTGAGAATGCTGTGCTACCCTACGGGAGCTGACTCAAGCGCTGCGAACTTGGCTCTCCCTCATGCAAAGCAGTAGAAGTTCGCCAGAATGCGGAGTTAAAAAAAATTCATAATAAAAGACTCCTTAATAGCATGAGAAAAGCTAAACCTTTTTTTTTTCCTCCAAAACTATTTTCTGTCTATTCCCATAAGAATCCTATCTGCAAAAAATAACCTAGACTACGGCTACTCTGCCAGAAATCCAGTGGACTTTCAGGACTGAAGCGGAAGGCAAACACGGCCCATGAGCAGGTACACAGAAACACTTTGGGACAGTCATTTCCTTGTCTTGAAGCCAAACAGCTCTTCTGTGGGACAGCAAAAGCTCCTCCGTCATGACAGCAACTAAAGAAACCTCAGTCAAGACACGTGGTCTCCTTAAACCGGTACATCACGGATGTACACAAAGTTCCCTTGGGTGGAGTGTACGTGAAACACCAGCCCCAAAATTAAGCAAAGCTACAGGATTGTTCAATGCAACGCAAGGGGAGGTGACAAACAGGCCATGTCCTGATCTGCAGCCAACAATAGTTCTCTTGAAATGTCCCCAGATACCTAACACAGCCTTGAAAGGGAGGTGACAGAGCTGACGGTCCATTTTCATCTAACAGGATCAAACAAGCATCCTGCTAAACCCTGGGGAATGTTCTTCGAAAAGGCAACCGCTCACAATGCTTTGATGTTCTCCTTCCCTACGTCTGAGAAGATGTCAGACTAGGGGGGTAAGAGTCTGGGACAGGTTCTGACTTCTGGCAAACAGTTCAAACGAAAGAGGAGCCAGTAATAAACAAGCGTGGCCAATACTAAAAAGATTGCTCAAGAGGTCTCTGCCCCCCTGCTTTGAAACCGCTACAGGAACGATGTAAGCAAACATGTCCCCAGTACATGAACCTTCTGAAGGAACCATCAGTGGGGCAACGCTTCTCTCCACATCAAAGACCGTTGCTTCCTTTGCCTAGATTAATATCTGAACTTCAACAGCCCTTTTTCCCAGAGCATTAGCAAAAGTGAGCTAAGCTTTCTGGCACTCTCAGGAGATAAGTGGTTATCATCTGTAAAACAAGCCCAAATCTGGTTTTATGAGGTTAAGTAACTTGCCCAAGATCACAAAGAGCTCCGGGCAATGCCAGAACAGATGCTATAGCTCTTGATCATCTCTTTTCTGCTCCGGCTGGTAGACAGCGGGGCTTTCTCCTAACATGGCTTAAGCACCAAGTCACGCGCTTTGCAAGCATCAGGGCATTCGCCTATCGACTGCTGTAACTCCCTCAGACACCTTCCCCAGAAGTGGAACAAAAAACTCCTGACTCATTAAAAAGGCGAAAAAAATTCTGGGTGTGTCAGGAAGAGTGATGACCCTATTTATAGCCTATTTTTAAAGGTTTGCATTTTGGTAGGCTGAAAACACATGTAACTGAATAAATCATGCACATGAGTGCACGCACAGAAGGGAAGAGAAATCTCCGTGCTTTACAACGCCATCAGGTTTGCGATGCCGCCCCGCACCCCTCCTGACCGCCTTCAGCCTTCTCCGGAAATCAGGCCCTTTGGCCAAAATAGCAATGAAAAGAAAAATGATGAAATACTGAACAGCCCCACACTGGTATCATCCAGTAATATTCCAGTTCAAATTTTAACTCTTCTGACAAACACAACAGTGTTGCTGATGTCTCAGACTGCACAGAATAACTTCATGTGTATAGCCAGGCTGCTCTTCTTCACACTTTTTTTTTTTGCCACAGTATGAAATTAGGTCATTTACCCTGGCCTAACTGTGATAAAAGTCAAATAACCCGTCCCTTAATTCTTCCTGCATTGCATTTTACCCCATTTTTCCTTCTGCTCCTCAGTTACTTTAAATTTAGCTTGGAAACAATTCACTACTTGGGGTTGTTTTGAGACGTGCCAACATATTGCAGGAAAAATACAGAAATCAAAAAACTATTTCAGTCTATGCAGGATGGGCGCAGTGACTGCTTCTGTCGTGATACAGCAAATTCCTCATCTTCACGTAAAACCACACTTTAAAAATTATTTAAAATGAGACAACAACTCTTCAACTAAAGAATTCCTTACTAAGCCACTTACTGAAACTTGCTTTGGTCAATACATAAGAGCAAAAAATGAAGAACACAGAATTCTGGTCTCTTTGTTCTTATCCCTGAAGAGATGAGATGCATCGGTATGATAGCACTGCCTCCTCTACACGATAACAATGCAAAACAACGAGCAGAAGAAAAGATGGAGATTTCTGAGCTGGAAGTAATTAACACACAAGTTAATGTACGGCCTTAGACCTGGCTATCTAATTGGTACCTGGGTCTTTGATCTGGGGTGTGGTTAAAAGGGCAGCAGCAGAACTCTTTGGACTTTTTCTCGTTAAACAAGGCACATGGAGACAAAACACCCCTAAACAGAGCTTTACCAAAACATGATTTCATTTCCTATCCTCTGAAAGTGGAAATCCTGTCCAAACCTCCTATTTTCAGAATTCACATTTGAGCTACCAAACAATGGGCCCCCAGCCTAGGCAGCTATTTAAAGCCCTGCTGGAAGCACATGTTTGGGTTTGCCTGGTAGGTGACTAAAGACTCCAGTGCTAATTGCATCCTCTGAGTTACCATGGTGGGGCTGGGTTGAAAGAGGACTTATAAAGAGATTTAAGCAGGACAGGAAAGCCAGACAACAAGTGTGGTGAATCTCATGGAGTATCTTGGATTTGCATCCCAAGAGATGTTGCCATCTGGTGGCTTGTGGACAGGGAAATCAAGGGATCTCCTGTGGCCATCCGCAAAGTGGTTCTTTTCTGCTTCAGAAATCCCAAATTCCGGTTCTGAAAATCAGAGCCCATATTTGAAGTGCGTTTGTGTGATTTACACAGTTATTGTATTCACTCTTGCAACACAGGAAACCTTATGAAATACATAGGCACAGTACCAGTAACAGACAGCAGCCTTTGTTTTTCATTTTAAACCCTCAACTATTAATATGGAGAGTGTAGAAAGATA